AGCCAATCATCTGGCAGTGTTCAAAAGAGTTAGAGTCAATTGGAAGCCGCCTTATTGAGGGTTTAGCTACTGGGGAAAGCCCTTGCACATGGGAATATATTGTTTGGGTTGAAATTTGTTTACTTGCGTGGAGATATTTTGGAAACTATAGCCTTGAACTTCACAATGTTTATGTAGAATAAAATTGTAATCATCTTCTTGCATGTTCCGCAAACAACCGGCGTATATAAAATGCAAAAGCTATGCAACAGGCGAAATTTTAAATTTTGTTAACAATGACAAACAAGCAATCGGGAAACTCGAGAACGAGTAGATCAGGATATGTCCAAATGTTGCTATTAAATTCTTCCGATATGCCATGGCTTCAATGAAAAATTCTAAAAGATTAAGCTCTCGTTGCATGTAGAAAAGTATAGCGAAAGTTACATGTATAAACGTTTCGAAGTTTGGGTGAACTGGAAATTCATATCGGCACAATTAAAAGTTTCTCGGGTTTTATTTGTGTTCTGTTTACATTCAAAAGTCAGAAGTTGTTGCTCAAACAGCAAATTAGTTTACTTTGAAACTAATATTTCGCTTTCTAAGCCAAAGTATTATATCAAATTTTCTGTCTTCTGAGTTCTGTTGTCTTAAAGATATATATTTGTCAAAAGTTCAAATTTCAGCGAAATATATTCTACATTTGATGCTGTTGCCACCAGGTTAATATAGTATGCCCTCGAGTATGCCATCCTGTCCACGTTTTAAAGATAACCGAACATCTTTAATATCCAAATCTGATAATTAATGGCACATTTTATTTCCTGGACAAGTATCAATGTCTTTAAATTCAATTTATGTGCAATTTTGACCAAAATTCAACCGACGACTGCTTTCCAAATATAAAAATATTTATGTACTATTTATTCTGCCCATAAATCACTTTCCGAAATATTGAAGGTTCGCTGTGATTGGTCGATCGGAGGGAATGGAATGTGCAGCTCATTTCAGCAGACGTTAGTTAGTGAGGGTTAGAGCTATAAGAACGTCTGCGAGGGAGACTACCCAAATACAGGACCAAACCTACACTGTAGCAGAAAGTATATTTATCAAGTATTTGAAATAAACTGTTTAGCGGTCGTTTCATTTCCAGTAGGATACAACATTTGGTGGGTTCACTGTATCCTACTGCAGTGGTGTTGCTGGTCATGGCATCGACAATGACTACGTTCAATACGTGTGCATAGCAATGGACGAACAAGGCAGATGGGGAGATTTCTTTTATCCTCGCTTGAAGACCTGTCTGTATGCCCAAAACATTACTTGCTCCATCGTAGCATTGACCTCTAGGATGAGTGACATCTATGTCGTGGGATTTCAATACAGCGCAGAGTGTTTCAAAGAGCATTTCACTTGTCGTCTGATCTACAATCCTGAGAGCCAACAACTTTTCTTCGACATCTCCTTGATATACATAGCATACCGTACACTTGACAACCAAATATTTACACACCGCACCCCCCCCCCTACGACATCGGATTTGGACGAATCCAAAAAAAAACCACTCTGCCCCCCCCCTCGCCCCCCCCTTGCCGGCGCCACTGACCACAATTAACCCTTCGCAACACGTTTTAAAGTGTTCTTTATAAAACTAAACCGCCTTTAATGAAATGGCTTTATCGATAAACGTTGAGTTTGCAATAAAATGATTTCAAATTCTCGCATGCAAATAACTTTGCTTTCTTTTTTATTTAAAAAATTCAATATAATATAAAAAAGGGAATCAATATTAAAGATACACTGAAATTATATGCTGTCTTGTTTTATATATGCAAAGGCAGTCGGGTTTTAAAGCAATTATAAAATCAATATTTAAAACAAACTTACCTTCGTTAACGTCGGCTCCCTTCTTTTAGCTGATTCTTTCGCCCTTTCTTTCTTAAAATTAACAAAATCTTGCAAAAATGCGAGCAAAAATGAAATACATTTGCAAGAAATTTGCCAATCATCAAATCAAGAAAGTGAAGAAATGTTTGCTATTTCACTGTCGTCATGCAGTCGTTATAATGGGCTATTACATTTAATATCCGTACCCCCCCCTGTCGAGGACCAAAAATCCAGAGGGGTATAGAGACCTATTTTTCCAGAGGGGATAATAAAAACTGAAATTCCAGATGGGATAAAATGTCACATTTGCCTTTCCAGAAGGGTTACGTCATTTTTCCAGTGGGGTTGGGATGATTTCCCATGTGGATTTCCAATGGGGTCAAGTCATTTTTCCAGAAGGGCCAGAGGGGCAAGGCAATTTTTCCAGCAGGGTGTAAAGGATTTTTCCGCAGGGGTTGATTAAATTTTTCCAGTGAGGTCAGATATTTTTCAAGGGCTTCGAGATGGCCTTTCCATTGGGGTTCCATCTAGCCTATATTCAATAAATTGAAGAATCAGCAAGACTCAGTCATTGTAAGATAACTGCCAATGAATCTATATTGTTTTAATTAAATATCCCAACACAGCATGCTATGCCATTTGGAATGAATATTAATAATGACTTACGGTTCAATATAAAGTACAATAAACTACAGTATATGCCCAGCATGACGTACACATAAAAATAAATATCAAATTACATTACTTATATCAAACTATTTAATCCACTCATACCATATACGATTCACTGGTATAAGTATACTGTATATGTTTGTTTATTAAACAAGGGTATTCTATTGAGGTTTTTATGAATTAATAATATAGAGGGCAAAATTACTCAAATATGATTGACTAATGATGATGGCATTTTTTCTTAATTCATGCCAAAATCATTTGATTGTTTATTCATAGACTTCATACATCTGGTCCTTCGCCGTCACATGCGTATTGTATTTTTGACCAACTAACCAATATGCAATAGCAATGTTTTAGGAAAGTTGGAACTGACTGGAACAATAGGGTAAATTGGAAACTGCTATTGGTAGATTTGGTAAAAATACAATACACACGTGACGGTGAAGGACCGTATTTACGAATACGCGTTGACAAACATAGATAATGAGTTGTATTGTCTATTCTAATGAGTTTCCAAACCATCTATTCTATTACCTGTAACTATGCTGAGACGAAAGCGCAAGTTTCTTGTTTTAATTAGCAATGAAAATGGGAATAATGATATTATTGAAGCTTCAAAAACGCACTATAATTAATGAGGAAAACAAAAAGAAAAATTATAAGGATGTCGTATCTTTATATGTGATTAGAGATTTCGCTTGATTTACATAAACTTTAACTTTGATTTTCTTGACTTACACAACGTATTTTAAAATATTACTTCGCAAATGAACTTACTAGATCGATCGTTTTTTAAGCAATTTAGTTCACAGTGGCAGTGCGTGTTTTATTAGACTAAAGATACTCGGCTTCGCTTCGTATCTTTATATCTCAGTGATAAAACACTGCTGCTCATTTAAATAGTACATTAAAATCTTCTAGTGGAAACTCGAACACTGGCAAAAGTACGAATTTATGGGTTCGAGTATTTAAGAAATGGGCAGCATTTAGCCAGGAATATCGGCAAAGACATGGGGACATACGAGATTCAAGAGCTTGACAGGTTCACAATTAACTTACGAATAAATTTTACCCTCTATGATTCCTTGTAAAATTAAGGTTTAATTTCACCTGTGTTTTCAAAGTTTACAAATTACCCTCGTCGGCAATTTGTGAAACTTTGAAAACTCACATTTGAAATTAAACCTTAATTTCACTCGCCCCATGCGATTACCTATACTAATTATTGCTTTGTCTTTCCCATACTCGCAACTTTCCTTCAAAGAAAAGGGGGGTCACTTCAACATCATACACACAATTTGGTTCCGATGTGTACACAACTCTGATCATATCTGTCTCCTGATCTACTTCTTGAATTTCTGCAATATACCAGCCTGCTCTCCATCCGCTGTCACCAATGTCATCCGATGTCCATTTTATCTTTACTCGTTGGCCAATTTCGTAAAATGCAAGGATGGGATCATTGTTAATATCTTCTAGCAATCCTTTGGAATCTGTGCCTGACTGATCGATCTTTTTGTCTGAAGTGCGTAGCACATCAATGAAGTGTTCCATTTCAGAAAATATAACCTTCGGCAAATCTTTCATATCTTCTATATCACATGAAACGGAGATTTGCGATTTTTCACTTCTTGTTGTGGATGAATACGCTCGTTCACGATGGATATCTCTAATTTTTAGTATATCATTTTCAATTTCTGCATAGATAATTTGCTTCGCATGATACATTATTATCTCCAATTCTTTTACATGCGACTTAAATGCAAAGTGCAATTTGGAATGGCGTAGTAGGAACACTCGGTAGACTAATTCATCTTTTGATGCTTTAAATGTGATACCATGTGACTTTAATATAAACTTGAGGAGACAGACCGATAATTTTTTTATGTCGGTAATGTTATGCGGGATAGACTGAATGTTTCCGTCATAACCAGGCTTGTATTCTGGGGGTGTATTCTTGTCCAACTTGGTAGATAAACTTGCAACAAGTTCGTGCTTCTGCAATCCTTTATGTACAATATCGTTTTCTGCACAAAGTGCTTCCAGATCATGAACTCTTTTTTCATAAAGTTTGTGTTTTTTCCAGCGCTCTCGCTTCATATCATTTTCATAATCCTTTTCCATTTTATCCCTTTGCTCGCTGAAATGAATTTTAATATCGCTGACGGGTACAAAACAAAGAAGTGCCAAGTTCTCCAATACACTTTCAGGTGGATCACTGCTCAACTGAAAGAACAAATTCATCACTCTTGTTGGAAGAAACTCCCCTGCACGCAGTTTGATTTCATTCTTTGCAATAATGGCGGCAGTTTTCTCGTAAGAAAGGTAATGAAGTTCACCATGTGTTTGAAACCAGCGAAGATAATTGGGAATTGGTTGTTCCAATACACGTAATTTAACCAAATTATCGTCAAAAATTGTGGTGTTGTATTTGTCTTTCCATGCTCGCTCCCCATTAATTATTTTTGTGGCAAGCCCCAACACAAAGCTAGCGTCTCAAAAGGTTGGTTTTGTGCAGCTGTGTACGTCCACGTACACTCAGATTTTCGTTCTTCATTTAAAGCTAAGAATTGCTTAAGTTCACGCTCATCGTTAAATATCTGTTCGTTTTCAATGACCCCTCGAACTGCTTTGATAAAATGGCCTCCAAATCTCGCCTGACTTAAACAATTCTGTACATTTTTAGCCATTTCCTCCATGTTTTCCCGATGCTCGTTACTACCTGTTGTTGCATTTTTGTGAATTAAACTGCTGCTAAATGCACCGTGTCGCGATAGCACTTCATTAGCTGCTGCGTGAGGTCTCTCGGCAAAATTCCGTTTGCTGTGGTACTCTGCGAACGAGCGCTGCGATATCTTGGAAAGACCAAGCATCCTTAAAATTCGTACCAAACACATTTGGGTGAGCGGGCTATCTGGATCTTCAGAATGACCATTATCAACAATAAAGTTGAAAATGCTTTTCAACTTTTTGCTGCTTGGATTTCGAAAAAGGCCATCTAATTCCGGTAATGTTAACATATGAAAGATTTCGTTCATTCCACGAAATGTTGTTTCCGGTTCAAAGAAAGATAGATTTACTAGCATAACTGCTTGTCCTGTTCTAGTGACAATTCTTTTCTCGATTTCATCAGTGGAATCATCCGTTTGTTTTTCAAGCGTCGATCGAAACTTAGAAGTATCCATAATTAAATGCGTTTTTGGATAAACAGCATTTGTCTTTCCTTGATCAAAAGTGTGACCGGATATATTATAGGTTTCCAGCTTTTACCAGGAAGCTGCACGGGCGGAATATCACCGCAAATCATACTTTTAGCGTCACGAGAATCAATCATATGATCTTCTGCGTTATTTTCACTGTCTTCCAAAAGCAGATTGACGTTTTTTGTGCTCCAGTGTAAATTTACTACGTTTTTAAATGCACCTATTCTTGGAGGTTGCTTCAAAGATACTCTTGCGTTAATGTTCTTCCCACTATGATGGCGTTTTGCCGAATATGTCCCTTGTTTATATGATTCAGTGTAGTTATAGCATGTTGATAAAGCTATGGAAAATTTCGGAGGTGCCACACTTAAGAGTATTTCTCGTGCTTGTCTCATAAAAAAGTTATTGTCCTTGCTGCGATATTGCACATCCGTCGTGAGTCTAGGATGGCATTCCATACCACCATCGCCTGCGTCGCCAGCTTGGAAAATGTTTTCCAAAATTAACCCGAGCTGAGGAAAAACATCAGACTTGAAATTTCTTCCTCTAGTTTCATAAGCCAAACACATATTCTGCTTTCTTTTATTAATTATTCTAACCGTTAGTCTTCGTTGCTGCTCGCAAGTCATGTCGTTACGAACGATTTGTGATGTATTTCGCAATTCATCAAATTCATTTAAATTTCCTTCAAACTCATCCCGGCAAGCCATTATGGAACTTTTGTTCTTTATTTTCATTAGATCAGCGACAAATTGAACGCTAGTTGCTTTCGTGAAAAGTGCCTTAATAATATCTCGGTCTTTTTTGGTGCCAGAAAACGCAAGGGCGTCATTGAACAAGTGGCCAATACTATTTTTAATATGATCGTTCACACTTTTCTTCTTATTCAATTCCATACTATCATCCAGACTCTTTGCAAGTTTTTGAATTTTGGGGTACTTGTTTTCCAGTATGTAAACGATTCCGTTTATAGCAACTTGAGTAATATTAAAGTGTTTTTTTAATTTTCTAACCAGTTCAGATGGACGAAATGGTCTTTTCCCAGAGCTCTTTCGTGCTTCCTTGTATACTCTCCCAAGATCCTTAGCAGATACCAAAGGACCATTCTCAATTAAGTATTTTCCTGCTTCTATCACTGAAGCACAATCCTTTTTAACAACATCAGATAACTTTTCTTCAATAGGTTTTGCCTCGAGTTCTGCTACACTTTCCTCCAGAGACTTTTTCTCAACCGGTGTTTGTTGCATCTTCTGATTTCTGGATCGATTTTTACCAAATAATTTACCTCTATTTTTATACCATTTTTCGGACGCATGTTTAAATGGTAGGCTATCTTCACTGCCCTTTTTGAAAGTTTCCTCCCTAGTTCTGGCATACCACGTTTCAGATGCTTTCGTGAATGGACGAGATGAAGAATTTGAATCTTTGAATTTTTCTTGGGCATTGTTGATCTTTTGTTCTCTTTTTTCGTACCAATGATGAGATTGGTTGGCATACCACGTTTCAGATGCCTTCGTGAATGGACGAAATGAAGAATTTGAGTCTTTGAATTTTTCTTGGGCATTATTGATCTTTTCTCCTCTTTTTTCGTACCAATGATGAGATTGGTTGGCATACCACGTTTCAGATGCATTCAGGAATGGACGAGATGATAAATTTGAAACTTTGAATCTTTCTTGTGCATAATTGTTGATCCTTTGGCCTTTATTTTCATACGAATGATGCGATACGTTAGGAAATGGTAATGACGTTGTTTGATGCTGAGATTTTATTGTGTCATCTCTAGGATTTATGGTAGTGCTTCCTTCTTTGAAATAATTATTTTTCTTTATCCTAAAACAACATGATATATGTTACTATCAACAACAAGAATAAATTTCTTCACTACAATGGAAAAACTACTAACGTGTCTTGTTTAAAGCTTAATTGACTGATTGAGGGCTCTTCGCATGCGGGAAAAGACTAGCTGGGACTGGCCTTCAAGTTTGGCTCCAAGTAGCATTCCAGTTATATTAATTTAAATTGTTTTTTCAGACAGTTTTTGGTTTCTATACCCTTGACCGCCTCATTCTATTACACAAAATTAATCCTGTACGCTTTTTGGAGCGAAATACCTTCGGCTATGAATATATCTGGATCTATTCTAAAACTACACCCGAGTGACAGACGAGTAAAAGACGTCTGCAGACGAGTAAATTTTACGACTAAGTAAACTAATAAACACGGATTGTTTTCAATAAATGATGCAATATTTTTTCAAAATGGCGATTGGCAACTGCAGTATGTGAGACCGCTATTGTATGTGAAGGTGAGAACTGTACTACTATAATAATCATATAATTATTTGTAACTTTCTGTCAGTTTGGATCACACTCCTTCGCACAGCCTTACGAAGTTTTAGTAAAATTACGTAATATTACTGGGGAAAGCAAATTACATAATTGTTAGTCAAAACGCGCTAGGTGATGGGAAGACAGAAGCTATTTCGTCAACCATGCATCTATCCCCCCCCCCACCCCCTCTCTGTCGTGCACCACTAAATGTCTTCTACTATTATTACATTATCTCTACAATCCTATGTTACTAAACTGAAATTAATTACATATTGGAAAGTATCAAATTTGGCATTGATGCTGCTAAAAGAATCATCTGAGCTTTCCAGAAAATAAAACGTACCTTTTTGCTTTTGGGCTTTTAACTTCTTGTTCATTTGCCAAAGGCGGGAATTCCTCATCGTAATTAATTTCTTGCCATTCTCTTTGCGAAAAAAGGGGAACAAAATGATTAGGCACAAAGCTATAACTAAAAGAGGATAGTCTTGACCACATGATATAAAAGGTTGGGATTTCTCTTTCGTCATGTCCAGTCATAGTCCTTGGTTTAATCAAGCGGTGGTACAGAGAACGTGTCAGGCCCAAACGGTGAGATCTTTGAGGATAGACACTAAACAATGGCTGTTGAATCACAGATGCAGCCGCAAAAAAATGAACAAGGGAAGCCCACTAAGACAAATCGCACGTTTTTATTGCAACATCTTTTATAACGCTTTTCCTGTCACACCCTGGCTTGATCCCGTCGCAAGAGGTTGTCATTAAAAACAAAGAAGTTTCACTCAGCCCTCTCCCTTCGTCAATATCCATTGCGTCAGTTATTCGTTTCGGATCACAGTACCATTCGGGGTTTTCAAATAGCTCTATAGCTATTAAAATACGTAACTGTTCACTCATGTTCTCGTTTCCTGCCAAGATCAACGAGAGGGAGTTAAAGAAACAACTTCTGTTTGCACGTGCACGTTTTGCAGTTAAACGACATGGAACGTCACCTGGTATTAATGACTGCGAGTACATATCGTTCGGCAAACGTTCAGCAAAGTCCATATTTCCATGATGCTTTCTGAGCTGGTCGGCTACATCATACTTAATTTTCATCTCTCGACATATAGCACTTATTCTGTTGACGTCGCCGCTAGTTAGCGCGTTTTTCAAATAATTTAGATTTCGCGTGGTTTCCTGTCGATTTTCCATACTACAAGACTTTTTCAGTACCAAATTATAAAATACCAAAATGACTAAACACGTTTGTATGACCCTCCTAAATCTTTATAAACAACGTAAGAGCATATCAAATATGTACGGAAGCCGTGAAGAGACTTCAGACTTCGCTGGGTCTTCAAACCAGTTCAGACTTCAGACTTCAAACATTGGTTCCGAGCTTCGCTAATAGCCAACATTGCTTTTGCGTTCCTCCTCTTAGTCTTAGAATCACTTTGTTTTTGCTTTATTCTTTAGTTTATACAGTTAGCTACTTTTTTAAATGCATCTGCCGGTTGAGAAACATAAAATTATAGTCACAAAATTGTCAATTAAAATACAATTATCAATGATGCTTTAAAATTTACGCCATATATTTATACAGCCATATAAGCAAAATTTACTGAACTTCAGACATCATTTTCTCTTTGGCGTATCATCTAAAATCTTCATTTTAGCATTATTTTACAGATAAAGCACTAAACATACTTTTTAAGTTTGTTTGCCGATTGAGAAACGTATCGAAAAATAAAAATTTTGAATTTAGTCATAACCTCAAGAACCTCAAGTGGTATATTATACGCATTAGTTTTGAGCGTGTGTTATACTTAACTTGATAAATTTACAGAATAAAGTTAATAAATTTACTGCAGTAATAAATTTACGTGGTGTTTCTACAAACAATAGTATTATTTGTTTTAATATCGTTCTGCCTTTAAACCTGCAAAGAACTGTCAGAACTCACTGACACATTCCATCAGTCTGCATTTACAATCTAAATCATTCTGACCATTTTAAACTTTAGTTTGAATAGCTTTGCCTTTGACTGAATAAGTGCCTTAAATATTAGCCAGCTTCGCAGAAGCAATGTTGGCTATTACCGAAGTTTGGAACCAATGTTTGAAGTCTGAAGTCTGAAGTCCCTTCACGGCTTCCGTAAATACGGCATGTTTTGACTACACTTATCTTATACAAACATTGTATTTATAAACAAAAAACACTAAAAACTTTCGAGTTTGGGTAATTGTCCAGGGTCGAGATTCATACATCTAGGGTCGAGGGTCATACGTCGAGGGTCGAAAGTCGAGGTCGACAGTCGAACGAAACTTTGGCCACACCAATTGCGAGGTTGGTGGGAATTTGGGAACCATAAACACGAGATCATCAAGTTGATTGGAAACCCGGCCAATCAAATTCGGACGTTTTGCGTCAAATTATCGAAATGCGTTATGAAATTCCGAACCAAGTTTGCAAGCAAATTGCAAACGATTTTGGCAGTAAGTTTAAAAACTAAATTAAACTTATTGTATTAAACTTATTATAATTTTAAAAACTGAGCTTTTTGTTATTATGATATTATTTATTATTAAGAGGGTCCTGAAGGGGGGGTCCCAATCCCATTTCCCACCTGAAATTTTGGCAAAATCCCAGTCCCAGTTGGATTTTTATTAGAAATCCCAGTCCCAGTTATTGAAATCCCAGTCAATAAAAACCCCTTTATTTATCGGTAGAATAAACTGTTTTAAGACCTTTAAGCAAGTGGCTGACACTTTATGAAATATTAGGGGGTGCTCGTGCCGAAGGCACAGAAAATTTTAAAATTTGAATCCCGGAAATGGCATTTGCAGCATTCTGAGACACGCATAATCAGAAAACCCAGAATTCCGGGCGCCAGAGTATGCCTGTTCGCAGGTAGTGCTGTGAATAATATAGTTAACAACAAAATTCATGACCAAAGACACCAAAAACGGATCAAAATTGTATTTTAAAACACTCGAAACGCAGAAAAATTGGGAATTGACTCGCATTACTTCAATCCCATTCCCATTTTTGAGGACTTCATTTCCCAGTGGCCAAATCCCAGTCCCAGCAACCCAAATCCCATTTTCCCAGTCTAAAAATAGATCAATCCCAGTTCCCATTTTACCCTTTCAGGGCCCTCTATTAATGAATAAGTTTAATACAATAAGTTTAGTTTTTACCGCCAAAATCGTTTGCAACTTGCGAACTTGGTTCGGAATTTCATAACGAATTTCGATAATTTGATCCGAAACTTCCGAATTTGATTGGCCGGTTTTAAGTCAACTTGCTTCAAATCCACGAGAGAAGTAAAAGCACAAGTGCGGACTAGTAAAAACCATGCCCTTGTCGCTTTGCAATAAGTAAAAGTTAAAGTCTAATAATGTTAAAATCGTATGTAGAAAAAATAAATAAATGCCAAATACTGTACGCCTATTGGCTAAAAATAACAATAAATTACGCGTCACTTCCGTCCGTATTATTTGCACGTTTGTTGTGATATTTATACAGTATTGGAGAACACAGAAACGCACTACTTGTAAAAAAGCATTCGCAGGCAGCCGGACTACTCGCATTGAAATAATATGATTGTAATTCGCGACAACCAAACTAAACAGACACTTGGTTTCCTCGTTAAATATGATTTAGAAGAAGACCTAACCCAAGTTCGGAAGCAAATTCAGCAACAACTCGGGGCACTCGTTCACAATGACTTTAAATTTAAATTTTTTGGGTGTTCAATATCGTGTTTACAAGAGAGTAATTACCTCCTAAAACAATGCATTTCAAAGACAGAACTAAAAGGATTCAAATACGAAATTGTCATTAAAAATAATTCAGAAGGGAAGGCATCTGAAACTGTGCAAGATCTGCGTTCGAATAGCCCCGTTTCGATTGGTCAAAAGCCAGATATAGAGACAGACGGATTTTTAGGGTTTAAATCTAAGTCGACATCGCAATTTGAAAACAAAACCTTAAAACCAGAAACTGGAACAGATAGCAATAGTCCGTTGATAAGAAGAATGCTATCCAGACGAGCTATTTGAAAGAGAGAGAAAACGTTTTTGGAATCAAAAGGCAGAAGAAGTTGAAAATGACATCGCCTTACGCCACTGGGGTGTTCAAGCTTTAAATGGAGTAGTGGATGTTGCATGGACTTTAAAGAAAACTGAACTTCTTCAACTGC